TGTTTTCCATAAGAATGCTTGTTTTAACGACAGAAGAGAAATGAAGGGAAAAATACAGGTAGCACAGAATTAATAGAGCAAGGACCTCCTTTTCTTTCTTATAGATTTTTGTGAGTATTTGAAGATAAAGATCTGCCTCTAAGTTCAGTCATTTTTGTTCATTCCCATCCAAAAGATTTAATGACAGAGAAGAACAAAAGAAAGATTAAGACAAATAACATTATTTCAGTGGCAGAAAATTATCAACAGGATACAATTCAGAGCAAAGGACTTCCATTGGACAAGCAGGGTAGAAATTGATTCCAGTCAGGTTGCTTCCTTTATCTTACATGATGCAGCTGCCTGACACTAGTGATGGTTTCAGTAAAGGTTAACATCTTTGTTAACCCCTAACAGTCACAGGTAAGTTCTAGAGATGCTGCCAAATCATTTGGACAAACGAAAACTGACATTAAGTTAAGCCACACTAGTTTAAAACAGCAACCCACAACTGAACTGCAGACAGACCCAAATCCAAAGCTGTGATGCAATAATCAGTAGATTGAGCTCCAGATTTTCATCCATATCTCACATTTCTTGGAAAACCAGAGTATCTTGGGACCAGAGTATCTGCTTTACTTTCAGGGCAAGCATAAATTACTCAAAACATAGCAAGGCAATGTTTGTGATTGCAGAATTGCTTTGGGCCTGTCCAGAATATTTCTCTAGTGCCTGTCCTCTTTCCTCACCTACCTTGTCATTGTTACAATAAATACAGATTTTCCAAACTATTTTCCCAGTTTCTCTGTTGGGAGAATTTACTTATTGTGGATTTTCTCTCTCTGAGCAACACAGCTCACACTGGGTGAATTTTTAGGGGATGCTACAGAGCCTGGCACAGACACATGGGGCAACATGTAACAGTCCAAAGCTCTTTCCAGGAAGAATACCTGCATGAACACTGAGCTGAGAAGAAAGAAAACCAGCTACATGCATTATTAAACCATGAAGACTCTTGTGAGATCCTTGTGTTTCCCAGAAATTACTGCAATTCATTCTGCACAGGCTGTAAGGATGCAGGGATGCTTTAGCTGAAGCCTGGAAAGGAAGGCAGGAGCCAGGGGAATAGATTTGTCCTGGAGTCCTAAGCATTTCTTGGTGATCATCACATATTTTCAGGACATAGCAGGACACAGCTGTAAATGCCAATATTAAAAGTTTAAGCTAATAGAAATTTATGAAATCTAAGATTTCCTGTTGTTTTGACATCCATGGAACAGAAGAATAATTAATAAATATGAAGCTACTATTGTTCCCAGTGGAATCAATGAAGGATTTCCACGAGATTGGACACAAATAATCTTTTTTTTTTTTTTTAAACTAGTGGAAGTTTTGTATGTGCTGGATATACCCATGTACTGTGTCAGCAACAAGCATAGCTCTCATTTGCACCAGGAAAAACTCACTGAGTCACAAACCCAGCCTCATGTGACTGTCTGACATTTGTCAAATGAAAGCAATTTAGGAGGTCTCAGTGTCATGACAGTCTCAAGACTCCATTCTGACACGGGCCACAAGTGGCACTTAAGAAACTCATTCCTCTGCATAGAGGTACATTTGTCTCTGTGATGACACAGGGCTGTGCCAGCCCCAATTCCAGGATTTTCTAGTGGCAGACATAACTCTAACTCCTGCACATGAATGAAATTAATTGATCTTTTCTGTTGGGAGAGTGCTGCAGTCCTTGAGCTAAACTCTGCTTTCAGTCACAGCATGTGGAGCCATCCTGGACTGACTCTGGTGCTCTGGAGCACAGACTGCAGGGCTCCTCCTGCCCCTCAGGGATTGTTAGTGAGCAGCAGCTCCACTTGGCTCCTTACTGTCTTTGTTAATAACACTCCTAATGATTTGTGTTTGCATCTATTTTTGTATCTCTTAACATACTTGTAAGATACTCGAGGATGCTTTGGAAAGAACCCAAGCTCAGGAGTGGGGTGGTTTTAAAATGTATGAATGCCTGGTTGCTGTAGATATGTCATTAGTATTCATTCAGTTTGCAGGAGTTTTTTTCTCCCTTTCCAAAGTCAGAAGCAGCCTGTGCTGTGCCCAGTCCTCAGAGCACCTGCCAGAGAAGCACCATCCCTTCCTTTTGCAGGATCTCCAATTCTCCACTGAACAACCTGTTCTCCACAGGAACACCACAAATACTAGGGCAAGCAGGGAATGAAGAAAAGGTCATTCTACAGCTGCAGGGTAAACTAATACAATTATCTGATCTTAAGTTCTCTTTGGCCTGACTACACTTCTCTCATCTTTCAGTGTACAACTCAAAATGTCCATACCTGCAAAATGTTTGAGATACAGCTTATTTCGTATCTGTGGAAAACAAAGGGAAAAACTCCTATCATAAAATCTCCTATCACAGCTCCTTGAATGTCAGCTGGTGACCATAACAAATCCCTTCTGCTCTCAGCTAGGGTATTATTCCCCTCTGACTGGGTGTTTGGTGGCCATGAGCCTCATGCTGGAATCCCCCAGGCCTGATGGATATTAAATTCTTGGGATACTGATCAAAGCCCCAGCAACATCCACATGCAGTGCAACTCACCACAAAGCCTTGGCAATAGTCTACCTTGTCTTCAGCCTTACAGAGCATCCTGCAGCACTTCTCCAGAGAGAAGTCTGGGGGAGGATGTGCTCCCAGCCCTGTGTGTCAGCACACTGGTGCAATGCTGGTGTGCCAGGGGAGTCCCATGGTCTGAAACACCACTTTGAATTCAGGTTGGGTTTGTTCGTTTAAAATCATTTTTTGTCTCAACTACAGAAAAACAATGTCATATATATATATATATATAGCAGTTCTGTGAGCTGCTTTCATGCTGAGAAGCAAAATGAACATTTTGAAAGATCAAATCTGAGGAAAACTGAGTATTCTTAGTACATACAAATATCACGGCTTTTTATAAATTATAACCTTATTTTCCTAGAAAAAATAAATTCAGCCTGGGCCTCATTTCCTTACTTAGGTCCCAGTGAACCTTTCCATGGCCGCTTGCCTTTGCTGGCTGAAGCTGTCCTGTGTGCTCAGCACGAGATGCTTTGCACGGCTGCCGTGCAGGCAGGGAGCAGCAGCCTCAGCAGAGTAACGTTGCCACCAGTGCACTTGTTTGGAAAAGCTTGGGAATGTCACAACTTGTTACACGATGGTATCCTTAATATCCTCGGGAGGCAGTCATAACTTCTGCCCGAGGCGCCCGAGAACTTCCACGGGCACCGGCAGCACAAAATTAATGATGCAGCTCAGCCTGGGAGTGGCGGCATTTTAATAGTGGGGAGAGGAAGCCTTGCATGCTGCCAGCTAATCCTGGAGAAGTAAATGAACTAATTCTCATTTGTCACAGGCTTTGAGATATTCCAAGGAAATGTTTCATAAAAGCCAACTTGTTATTAAGTATTTCTGACAAAATATTGTTTTAATTAATCACTGTCTTTGATTTTCTATTTGGGCTACTCTCACAATGGCCTTTTGCTTGCTTGTACTGTAGGTAATGTGGGCTCACCCACACACCACTTCCAGAACCTACAAAGAATTATATCACTGCAAGTTATTGATCGTGTTCCAACTTGGATTCTGCTTTGTACAGGCTCTAATTAATCCATATTCATACCATATGGATTTCTCATCTGACTGTAGTTTGATCAACCAGCAGAGAAATATAGAGTCCATATCAGTTACATCAGATCTTTCCAAGAGAAAGTGCAGCTCTCCGATAGCTTTGTGTCTGGGCTGCCATGAACTATTGTGATGGAAAGAAATGTCACCATTTAGAAAAACCCAACCAAACAAACAAAATAAAAATCCAAAACAAAAAGAAACACAAAAAACCTTCCCCCAAAAGCCAGATTACTTAATGTATTTCAGAAACGTATCCAAACTTTGTGTTTAAACAAAAAATAGTCCTATATGCTTAATCAAAAAAGAAGATTTTTTTTGGATGAAATGCACTCAGAAGACAAACCAAAAGATAAGCAAAGACAATAGAGAGATAAGAAATCCTGTTAAAGATGAGACAATTTATTTGGGTTGTCTATGTTTTTGTAGGTTCAAGCCTAGTTAGTAGAAAAATAAAGTAATGTAACCCAAGAAGAAGATTCTGCATTTCCCTCATTTAGTTTACCCAACCTTTTCGTTGTGCTAATTTGTACTCTAATCAATTAAACTGTCGAAAAACGCATTTGTTAGGTGGAGTTCAAGTCGCATAAATAAAATAGTTAAAAGGTTTCTCTTGGGATCTAAATTCCTAGCAGGATTTTTTGGGCAAAACCATAGCTTCAAAATGCACGGTAAGACACAGACTATCCTCTCTCATGGAAAGATCCTCTATACGTGTCACACTTATATTTCTTACCAGGATTAATGCCTTTAATATTTTCCCCGTTTTCTCTGCTTAATCCCATGTGCAGGGACGATTATTGTGTTTTTTTTTTTTTTTTACCTAGAGACGTTCAAGTTTTGTTCCCATTTCACCCACTGAATCCTGAACAATAATGACCAGTCCCACAAAGCCACGTTTCGCCTCTTGGCACCGGGGAATGGAGACACTTTCACACCAAGCTGCCATTAGCTCTCCAGGGTCATTGCCTTCCAATTCTTGTGGCTCCCCTCCCTCTTCCTCCTTACTGCAGGGATTTTTCAAACAATGCGGGTTTAATTTACACATTTTCTCACACCTTTTGCTTTTCGGGGCGCACGGGGCACGATCCTGCACTCCTTGCAAGGAGTTCTTTCCCCCATTCCAGCGGGGGAGCGGGACAGCGCCTGGCCCCGCGTCCGGCAGCGCGGGCGGGACGAGGAGAGGTGCGAGGGGCCGGAGCACCGAGGGGCCGGGATACGGGCGGGATCCAGCGCCGGGAGGGGCGGGCGGAGGGCGGGGAGGGGTCGGCGCGGGGGGCGCGCAGGCGGGGCCGCGCCTGGCGGCGGGAGCGCGCTGGGCGGCGGGAGCTGCGATCCCGCCGGGGCACGGCCATGGAGCCCTCGCCCAAAGACGGCGAGAGCGCGGCGGCCGCGGAGCCCAGCCGGGGCGGCACGGCCCCTTCCAGCGGCGTGGTGGTGCAGGTCCGGGAGAAGAAGGGCCCCCTGCGCGCCGCCATCCCCTACATGCCCTTCCCCGTGGCCGTCATCTGCCTCTTCCTCAACACCTTCGTGCCGGGGCTGGGTAAGGATGCTGCGGGAGGGAGCGAGGGAAGGCGGCCGGGGCTCGGGGTCCCCTCCCCACCTGCGGCTGCTTCGTCCCGGCGGGGCCGCCCGGGCTGCCGGACCCCGCCGCGGCCGCAACTTTCCCGACGGCAGCGCGGGGAGGGACGGAGGAACGGAGGGAGGCAGGAGCCGCTCCGCAAAGTTTCGCGTTGAGAGCCCCGGCAGCGCCTGCGGGGTCCCCAGGGATCCGCCGGGCAGCGCCCGCGCCCCAGCGAGCGGAGCGGGCGAGGGTCGCGTTTCCCTCGGAGGGCAGCGGGGACCGGGGCTGGGGAACAGCATCCCGGAGCATCCCCCGCGCCTTTCCACCCCTCCGATCTCGCCGGGCGGGGATCGTGCGGTGTAGAAGGGATTCAGCTGTTCTGGCTCTGTGATTTCAGCCAGAGGACCAAAGCTCCCGGTGCCTGCATCACTCGCTATAGCTAGAGACGAGCTTTCACAGGCTACCGTCCCGGGTTTTCTAAGGAGCTCCATGGAACATGTTAGAACCGTTGTCCAGAGAAACTGGGGATTCAGTTTCTCGACATAAAGTCTCTAGTCAGGTCCCTAAGATGTGGCTGCATCCTTTTTGTATTTCCTTTTCCTCCACTTGAATTAAGAATTGCTTACTGCAAGAGGAGCTTAGAGTTTGAACACTACAAAAGCCCCTGGAATACAAGGCTAAATACAAACATTCTAGCTGAAAGCAAAATAACCACGTTAATAAAAATCCAAAATCAAACCCAGACAAAATAATCCATAACTTATTAACCCGTACCTCAGATCTCTCATAGTCCATTTCTGGCTACTGTTTCTGCTACTGTGGCCACCACAGAAGCCTTCCTTGTGATATGGAAGTATCCTCCCCTAGCCCTGCTTTTAAAGAGCTACTGCCTGCCTTTAATTGCTTCATGTGCTTCAGGTGGCTTAATTCTTTAACAAATCTGAAATTCTTAAAGTTCAGATTAAAGTACTACCTAAGTGTGGGTGGGATAGTGTGTGCAACATGTAGAAGCCTTTGCTATTCCAATGTGCTTGTTCCAAACCTGTTGATGGATTCCAGGGGAAAACCTGCACCTTTTGAAAAACCTCTGAGTTTTCCTGTGGAAGGACTGGTGTGTGTGTGTGCTTCCAGATGCTGTCCACTGTGCTCGGGTGTGTTCCTTGCCCATCCCTTGTCTGAAGAACCTCGAGTGATGAATCAAAGACAAACTCTAGAGCTGAGTTCTGTCACGGGGCTTTAGGTTTCCTGGGGCTTAGTTTCCCACTTTGGAGAGAGAAGTTCAAAACCAGAATTTGCAAAGCGAGTGTTGTTTTCTGTTGGCATTGAAGACACCACATCTTTATTGTGTACAAGAAAAGAGCCTGACTTACCGTGGCCCTTTTCCTTATCCAAATTAGCTGACACTTCAGAAGGCACACTAGAAAACTCTCAGTGTTCTCCCTTCATCCCAGTTAGACAGATCCCCATAAGCCATCCTAATGTTGGAATTGGCTCAAAGTGTGGTTCTCTGCCAAAGTTCTTCTCTGGGTGCTAAAAGCTAAAACCCAAGGCATCACTGCTGTGGGTCTGCTGGGGTAGCCAGTGTTGTGCCTTCCCTCATCCAGAAGGTGCCTAAGGAAGGACAGCAGATAATGCTTCCTTCCTGAAGGTGGGTGCTCAGGGCTCCCAGTCTGTGCTGGTTGGAAGCTTGGGAGTTGAATCTGGACTATGCAGCTGTGTTGGTTGTGTAACCACTGACAGGCTGGACCAGCACAAAATGGTTTTTAATTCTATTTTGAATTCTGTTTGGGTTTTTTTAACAGGCAGAGTTTTGGGGTTTTTATTTGTTTGCCCTTTGATGCACTGATTTCAGCGGTATGATCTGGCTGGCCATGCCACTGTTTCTCCCTGTTGCAAAAGTAGCAAATCAAAAAAACTACAAATGAAAAGGAATCCTTCCCTGTGGCATCCCCACAGCCTGGTGAAATGCAGTGTTTTGGAGATGCATCCCAAGCTCAGTATGCAAAGCGTGGCACTTAGTTTGTACATAAATGAACCGTTCTGTTAATAAAGCTGCTAATATCACATGCATTTTGAAAGAAAACTTAGTCTGAGATGACACACCTGACTGGAATACAGCTATTTACAATCTCAGCCATATCCTGTCATGTATCACATAGCCCACACATGAGGGGAAACGGGAGGAACACGAATCTGCTGGCAGGAATGCTCAAGGTAAAAAGAGATTTTGTGTCATTGTTGCACTTCAGCCATCTCAATGAGCTGAGCAATGCTCGTAAAACAGATAAGATTTGCAGTGGTGTGAAGTATTCACAACAAGGATGTGAGCCTGTTCCCTGCAAAGTAAACGGCAAAATTCCCATCAATTTTTGTAGTCCAGATTTATAACATGTTAAAATGATGTTTCACAGGCTTGCTGTATATTTCTGCCTGTTTAGTTGGAGAGTGTGACTATGTTTAGGGGTGTTTCTCAGTCCCTAAATCCATCCCTCACCCGTTTTGCATGTAGTTGTCATTTGTGTGTGGACTCTGCAGTGCAATTGTGAATAAGGGTCAGAGACCACCAGAGTAGACAAGAAAATGGGCAACATTGAATAAATCAGGTTTTCCACTGCTTGCAGACTGGTGACTTTGAGGTTTTCATTAGTGCCCTGTGCTTCAGAGTGGTGATATCCAAATAGAAATTGCACTCTGATGCGGGCTGTCAAATCCTTGGGCAGTCTCTCAGCATCTGGAAAGCCTCTATTTTTTTTTTTAATTAAACTATCTTTCCTGTGTTATGGAAGTCACCTGTGAGGGTGAAATCTGAGAATTTTAAATATCTGGTTTATTTTTCCATGGTGCTATGTATGTTTTGCAGTAGTACTCTATTTGGACAGGAAAAGCGACGCTTTCTCTTTGTTTACAGTCATTATTTTGTTTACAGTTTATTATATTCAGTTGGTAAATTTTCAGAGTTTTATGTAATAACCCATAACTGCAGGTTTTAAGATGCATTGTAAACTGGGTTTTAACTACTCATTCCATGCATGTTACAAAAGATGTAGTTCATAGTAATTTTTTCATACCCAGGGGATATATTAACTTTTGCCTTGCCAAAACTTAAAATTCAGACCAAATGCAGTGTAAAAAATCTTGATTACCAATCTACTTTTTGCCAAATAGCCTTGAAATTACACTGTGACAGGTTTCTGTGACAGGTGTGTCCACTTGGAAATGTTCTGGATCAGTTTTCCAGGGTCTGGTGCAGTTTTTCTCATCTGTGTCTAACGGGGCTACAGGGCTGGGCTGTAATGAAGGTGTCCCGAGCTCAGGTTCATAAAAAGATGGGTTGGGAAGAAGAGGAGTCAGTGGGTGCTGTGGCAAAAGCCATCCTGCCTTGGCTACCAGCGCTCCAGCTCTGCCACAGGCTGGTCTGGCTTTGGGAGCAGGCTGTGAGGCATCATGGCCAGACCATGGAGTGATGATGATTGTGTGTGCAGAATGGGAGATGCAGCTGTCAGCACAGACAGAGGTGTGCCCAGCCCTGCCATTCCTGCAGATGGCAAATGGGAGAAGGGCTGGCCGTGCCCTTTAGCTGGCAGACTGTGTTCTCCCGGAGCTGCCGTGTGCCAGTCAGCGTGGGAGAAGATCTGGCTCCTTGTCATTCCCGGAGCTGATACATGGGAATCTTGCCCTCCTTCCTCTCTGCTCTTCCTTCTCTCAACATCACGTGTGTGGGAGGGGGGTAATGTGAGAAGTGAGTGAAATTATCTGAAAGTCTGAGTTGTTCTCCAGGATTAATCCCTCCTGTCAGGAAGGGGGTGGACTTTTGGATCCCAGCCTGCGTTATACGTGTATACTATTTTTATGCGGGGAGTAATTGAAACACGCAGCATAAAATTATGTTAGCGCAGGATAGGAGAGCTGCCACTCGTGTGCCATGAAATAGCCCGTGGAGGAGTTCAGGAGTGACAGCCTCTCACAGCAGCTTTGGGAAGAAGGGGTGATTCCCAGCCCACTGAACTTTTTCCCTTCCAGGGTTCCACAGCGCAGCTCTCCTGCTCCCGTGTGTCAGCCCCGTATCACGAGTCTCCTGCCATCTGTTTATTCAGTCCCGATACAGTTCAAGCGCTGCACCTTCAGCTGTGTGAATGTGGCTTTATATTTGATTTATAGAAGCCAAGCATCTTCTCATTAGAAACCAAGGCTCTCCTGAGCAGAATGAGCTCTTCAAAGAGCTGAATAGAAGTACAGAGCACAACACTCGAGAAAGCTGAAGGGATAAGATCTGCATAAATTTACCAGTACCCAATTTATTTTTGTGGCTGGAATGGTAAATAGATGCCTCAAACAAACATCCATTGCCTTCATTAGTGAAACTAAGAATTTCAAGGAAAAAAACACATTATCTATGGTAGAGCAAACAGTGCAAAAGAGAAATTTGGGCTTTCAGACATATGTGCATTAAAATCTCAAACTCCCTTTGGTATTTATGATCCTTTAATTTTTTTTTGCTTTTAAACATGCAAACCAATGAATCTGTGTGATTTACAAGCTCATTTGTGGACAACAAAGGTTTTCTCGAGTGTTTGTGGGAATTTGTGCTTGTGAACTTTACTGCTGCAGTTTTTAGCTAATATTGCCTTTCAGCCTATGATGCTGATAGTGTGCAGCACATGGTTCATGGGACCATAATTGAACAAAGCAAATCTATTACCAGTAGACTTCACTCTGTCAGGTTTTGTATTTTCCACTGAAAAGGTCAAGAAGTTCTTTATGGTGATTTGTGCTTGTGCAAGGTGGGAGATGAGATCTGAAGTAAAATGTGTGTATCCAGGTTTTACTGCTCCATTACTGGCACCAGTGGTATCAGCTGTAGATTACAGTGATCACAGTGAGGTAAAGGTGGGCACAAGAATATAGAATATACAGCTGAATCTGAAGTTTCTGCGCCTGCAGGTCTTTGTTCTTTTCAGTATGTAGAAGGCCATTAAATT